ATGTTACTTTGATTGAACTATCATATGGGATAGCAGAAAAACACATGTTATATACATGGTATATACATAGATATATATATAGTATATGAGAGAAAAACTGACAAAACGCAAATGAATATCATGAGACAGATCGTGAGATGTAAATGGACACTAAGGATCAGGGGTGGACACGGGAACACAGGTCAAAACCGGGGACCTCAGAAATATACAAGGGATTACAGGGGAACCCCAGTGCGCACTCAAAATCACAGTGATTCACAAGTGGACACAGGGAATTACAGTGGACAAAGAGGGCCACTAGGGAAGCATAGGAGAACAATGAGAATTACAGGGAACACTTGTGAAGTCGGGAATTCATACAGGGCAACACAGGAGAATAAGGGAACACAGGGGAATGCAGGGGAATGCAGGAGAACGCAGGGGATCACAGGGGAATACAGGGGATCACATGGGATCACATGGGAACGCAGGGGAATGCAGGGGAATGCAGGGGAACACATGGGAATACAGGGGAATACAAGGGAACACAGGGGATCACAAGGGAATACAGGGGAATACAGGGGAATACAGGGGAATACAGGGGAATACAGGGAAACACATGGGAACACAGGGGATCACATGGGAATACATGGGAATACAGGGGATCACATGGTAATACAGGGGAATGCAGGGGAATGCAGGGGAACACAGGGGATCACATGGGAATACAGGGGAACACATGGGAACACATGGGAATACAGGGGAATACAGGGGATCACATGAAAAAACAGGGGATCACATGGGAATACAAGGGAATACAGGGGAACACAGGGGATCACATGGGAATACAGGGGAATACAGGGGATCACATGGGAATACAGGGGAATACAGGGGAACACAGGGGATCACATGGGAATACAGGGGAACACAGGGGATCACAGGGGAACACAGGGGATCACATGGGAATACAGGGGAACACAGGGGAACACATGGGAATACAGGGGAACACAGGGGAACGCAGAGGATCACATGGGAATACAGGGGAATACAGGGGAACGCAGGGGAATGCAGGGAAACGCAGGGGATCACAGGGGAATTTAGGGAATCTTTAAAATAGTGGTGTATAAAGCCGGGACAACTCATGTAGTCTTACACGAAGTAATAACCCTTGAAAGTTTGTTTTGGAACAGTACTGGTCAGC